ACAGAATTCGAGAGTACGTGTATGGGATTATGGGGATCCAGTGGGCCATGGCGGGTAGAGTTAGCAAGGAGTTGTGGGCGTGGGCTGGTTTATGTAAAAAGAAAAAAGATTTATTCCTTATTCTAATTTCTATTATGTGGGTTGTGTGGAGGGAGAAGAATGTTATGACTTTTGAGGGTATTGAAACCAACATTGTATATATTAGGGATAAATGGTTTCATACTTTTGATTCTATTTTGATTGGTCATGACATGGTAGATTGAAAAGATATTAAGGCTGTCATGGACCACTTGATCGACTTGTACTTTTGTGTTTTCGGGTGGTAGCTCTTTGGTACCTTTGTGCATAATAATATTCCTTCTCTTTTATTTCAAAAAAATATTTAGTAATATTTTATTTTCTATCAAAAGAAAAAAGAAAACATGGTAACAAGTGAAAGAATAATAATGACATTGCGGACGTGTGAACCATTTCTGTTTGTTAATCTCTTTACCAGTTGCAGTTTTTGTTTTCCTTATGTGTACATGTGAGTTGGTTACTTCAATTATGAGAATAACCTACTTAATGGGAGGTTTTATGTCCTAATCTTGTGCAGAATAGATGAATATAAGCAGTCCTGGAAAGAAAATGCACAGGATATTTGTCCCAATAAGAAGGTTTTCTTCTTTATTTCTTAGATCTAAGGGTTTCTCTTAATGAGTCCTTTACCAATGTTCACCTTAGGACACCAAGGCAAGAAACCCATAAAGCACTTAACAACCATGCTGGATTTTCCAGTTAACAGACTGTGGGAAGAAAGTAATCATACCAAAGGGCCATATATGTACAGGATTCTAAAAGTAGAAAAGGAAACCCTAATATAATTATGTATGGGTATATTACTATTTATACCCTTAACTCTAATATATATTACTTCTATCAATACAACTTCTAAAACAGACCAATTAATTCATTCTCAATCCTGGAAACCCATTAGGCAGTCTGACGATGATGATGACCCCATTTAACACTAAAGCAAGTACCTGTGAGCAGAATGCAAATTCTTTGCAAGTATATTTTAAATGTTCATGTTTTGAGTGTGTTATATTAATCTACATTATTGTATTTTCTTCATGAAAGAATAGCTTTGTGAAGGGCAAAGAGAAGACACAAAAGAGAAAGGGAGGAAGAGACTTCCCTAACAGAATAAATGAAAACCAAAAATTACAAAAACAATAACAAAATTCCAAGACAATGAAAACTCAATCTCCCTGGAAAGTAGATCCAATCCCCCAAAAAGGATGACATTAATCTCTGTTATTGTTGCTGCAGCTGAATCTTTTGGTTGCAACTAAAGTAGGTGAAGAAGGGCTTGACATTCAGACTTGCGGTCTTGTGATACGTTTTGATCTTCCAGAAAATGTTGCCAGTTTTATTCAATCAAGGGGTCGGGCCAGAATGCCTCAATCTGAATATGCATTTTTGGTAGACAGGTGCTTTTCGTTAGCATTGATGTGAGGAAGTCTCTCAAATTCTTTTTTCTTCGCATCTGACTGAACATCATTCTTGTTGATAGTGATAACCAGAAGGAAGTAGATCTGATTGAGAATTTTCAAAAAGGTGAAGAGCGAATGAATCTAGAAATTGTTTCCAGAACATCTAATGACACATTTCCTCGATCAGATGAAAGAATATATAGAGTTGAGTCATCTGGTGCTTCCATCAGCTCTGGATATAGTGTTTCATTACTCCATCAATATTGTTCTCAACTCCCACATGATGAGTATGCCCTTCTTCTAACTTATGATTGCTGTTACCTTCATTCTTTTTAAAGTTTAACTACTTACAAGGCCATGTTCAACTTGTGTGCTACTAAATTATATTTGTTTGATATATTGCTTCTTTTTGCAGGTACTTTCACCCAAAGCCAAAATTTTATTTTTTTGATGATTTAGGTGGAACTGTCTGCCATGTAGTATTACCTTCCAATGCTCCAATAAATCAGATTGTCGGTGCACCACAGTTCTCCATGGAAGCTGCTAAAAAAGATGCTTGTCTGAATGCAGTGGAAGAGTTGCACAAATTGGGTGTGTTGAGTGACTTTCTCTTGCCAAAGAAAAAAAATATAGATGAGCCTTCGGCCCTGGTCTCGTCTGATTCTGATAGCTGCGAAGGTTAACCTCAAATCAAGTTTTAATTTTTTTTTAGAAACCCTTTGTTGCATTAAGATTCAGATCCAGCATCTTTGATCCTTTTTTGTTGGCAGACGAGGATTCACAAGGCAAATTATATGAGATGCTAGTTCCTGGTATATTTAGGGAACCATGGAGTACATCAGAGAATCTTGTCTGTCTTTGTTCTTACTACATAAAATTCGTTCCTGATCCCAATGATAGAATTTATAGAAAGTTTGGTCTTTTCCTCAAGGATCCTCTCCCCATAGAGGCAGAGAGAATGGAACTTGATCTCCACCTAGCTCGTCGTAGATCTGTATTGACAACCCTTATCCCAGCAGGGGTTACAGAATTTGATAAAGATGAGGTAGCTTTTTCCCCTTTAGTAAAATTAGTCATACCAAGTACATTTTCAAATATTCGTGTTTTGCAGATTTTGCAGGCGCAGCATTTTCAAGAGATGTGCTTCAAGGTCATCCTTGACCGGAAAAAACTTATTCCAGATTTTGTTCCTTTAGAAAGTGGAAGTCTTTCTAAATCAAGCTTCCCAAGCTTCTACCTGTTGCTTCCAGTTATTTGGCTTGATGATGAACATGCAATGACTATAGACTGGCAGACTATCCGAACATGTTTATCATCTCCAGTTTTTAAAACTCTAGCCAACGATATAGAGAAAGAAATTCTTTGTTCAGATGTTCACTTGCAGCTTGCTAATGGTTGCTGGAGTACTAGTGATGTGGAGAAACAGTCTAGTATATGCCACTCATAGAAGATATTTTACTTTGTTA